TCCTCCTCCTCCTCCTCCTCCTCCTCCTCCTCCTTCTCCTTCTCCTTCTCCTTCTCCTTCTTCTTCCAGACCCTGTAACATTTCATGTAATAGTGACTCAGTGGTGATGAACTCCTTTAGCTTTTTCTTATCTGGGAAGCTCTTTATATGTCTTCCAATTCTAAATGATAGCTTTGCTGAGTAGAGTAATATTGGTTGTAGTTCCTTGCTTTTCAGCGCTTTGAATATTTCTTGCCAAGCCTGAAATGTTTCTGTTGAGAAATCAGCTGACAGTCATATGGGTGCTCCCTTGTAGGTAACTAATTGCTTTTCTCTTGCTGCTTTTAAGATTCTCTCTTTGTCTTTAACCTTTGGCATTTTAATTATGATGTGTCTTGCTGTGGGCCTCTTTGGGTTCCTCTTGTTTGGGACCCTCTGTGCTTCCTGGATTTGTAAGTCTATTTCCTTCACCAGGTAAGGGAAGTTTTCTACTATTATTTTTTCAAATAGGTTTTCAGTTTTCTTGCGCTCTCTCTTCTCCTTCTGGTACCGCCATGATGTTGATATGCTTGAAGTTGTCCCAGAGGTTCCTTACACTAACCTCATTTGGATTCTTTTTTCTTTTTGCTGTTCTGATTGGGTATTTTTTGCTTCCTTATATTCCAAACCACTGATTTGATTCTCAGCTTCATCTACTCTACAGTTGATTCACTGTAAATTATTTTTCATTTCATTTAGTATATCCTTCATTTCTGACTGGTCCTTATTTATGCTGTTGAAGTTCTCATTAAATTCATGGGGCATCCTAATAACCAGTGTTTTGAACTCTGCATCTAGTAAATTGCTTGTCTCCGTTTTGTTTAGTTCTTTTTCTGGAGTTATGTTCTGTTCTTTTATTTAGGACATATTTCTTTGTCTCATCATTTTGGCACCCTCTCTGTGTTTGTTGCTATGTATTAGGTAGAGCTGCTACATCTCTCAGGCTTGGTAGTGTGGTGGAATATAGTAGGTGTTCTGTAGGGTCAGTGGCACAGCCTCCTGATCACCCAAGCTGGGCCTTCAAGGTGCACAGTTTGTGTGGGCTGTGTACTCCCTTCTCTTGCAGTTGAACCTGACTGCTGTTGGCACACCAATGGGAGGGGTTTACCCCCAGGCTGATCAGCTGTAAGGACTGGCTGTGACCACTGACCTCCAACCACAGTGGATGATCAGCTGAGTAAGGGCCCACCTCACAGAGCAGGACTTACTTCAGTAGGGCTCTGGTGCCTGCTGAGTCTGCCCCTTGAATGTGTTGTTTGTGGAGGTAGTTGGGTGGTGGTGCTTCCACATTGGCTCTGGGGCCTGCCAGGAGGTGCAGGCCAAGGTTATCCACTGTCCCTGTTCTGCCTGGGACTACCCGGCATGAGCTACAAAGAGCTCTGCAGATGGCTGCTACTTGTGCTGGGCTTGACAGTGCCCAGAAAATGCCAAGCTGTGAACCAAGGTGGCTGCCTCTAGTGTTAGGACTGGGCCAGATGCTGCTTGTTTGAGAGATTTTAGGAAAATCTGAAGCATGAACCAAGGCAGGCCATTCATATGGAAAAACCACTGGAATCAGCTTGGGTGGGCCTGAAAGCTAGGTGCAGTGGGGCCTACCAGAATCACCAGGGCAGGAGAAACAGTGTGAGCCAGGTTGATGGAGTCTCAGATATGGCACCCGCCTGCTGGCTCTGCGGGGGAAGCTCATCAAAGGAACAATTGTATCTGCCCGCACTTTTGTCTGGAAGAAAGCTACCCCTAGCTCTTGCCCTAATGCCGGACAATTCAGCTACTCCCTGTGTGTCTCTGGTGCCTTTCTAGCTGCTGCCTCAGCACTGTAGCTCAGACGGAGTGAGTCTGAGTAAGCCCAAGCATGAGTCCTTTAAGAAGAACTGCCTGCAACTCCAGCAGCACTCTGTTTGCCTCAGCCTCAATTCCTGCTGGTTTTTACAGCCATAAGTTATGGGGACTTCTCTTCCTGGGACTGAAACCCTGGGCTGGGGGGCCCGATGTGGGGCTGCAACCCTCTTGTTCCTCAAGGGAGACCTCTGCAGCTGAGATATTTCTCCCAATTGTTTTTTTGTTAATCCTTACCTGAGGATATTTTTTCCATTGATTTTTAGAGAAAGTGGAAGGGAGGAAGAGTGAAAGAGAGAGAGAGCGAGAGCGCCATCAATTGGTTGCCTCCCACATGGGCCCTGACCAGGGCGAGGATCAAACCTGCAACCCAGGTACGTGCCCTTGACCAGAAATCAAACCCATGACCCTTTGGTGCACAGGAAGATGCTCTAACCACTAAGCCAAACCAGCCAGGGCTCTCTCAATTTTTATCTGCCACACATGGGTGTGGGACCAGCTTGTTCCATGTATCTGCCCCTCATACCAGTCTCACTGTGGCTTCTTCTTTAATTCCCTAGTTGTAGGACTTCCATTCAGCCAGGTTTCAGGTGGTTCTGAATGACGGTTGTTTTGTAGTTTAGTTGTAATTTTTGTAGTTTAGTGGTTGAGGGAGGAGGTGAGTACCATGTTTACCTACTCTGCCACCTTGACTGGAAGTTTGATGGCCTAACTTCTTAAATCCCTCTGTGGTCTCTGTCACAATACATGGTATAAGAAGATTCCACTAGCCCCTTTCCCCATGATCTGTGCTGGCAGACATTACTTAACAATCATGGTGTTCTTTCCTGCTGAGACCAAATGTGGCCTCACAGTGCTTCTTAACACAGAGTTTTGAGCAGTTGTCTT